GGTCTTAAATGAAATATTGGAACCTAATCCTTGGCCACCACCGGCCAACCTATAAAGTATGCTGAATATTATTACCACTTGACATCTGCAATATATAAACTTTTACTCCTACTTCAGTTTTTTTGTACTTTGTTCACCTACAATTCAAAACCAGCCAACCAACCAACAAGTTTTAAGGAAAAATTAACAAAAATAGAGATACCATGTGCATGTATCAGATGAATAAATGGACCTTAGTCTCCACTACTATGCATCTTCTCTGGTCATTCACACTCGTACAAAAGGGAACATCAAGTGTTACAAAATAAGAATTACATACTCACTGATGGTACTGTTTTATATCTATTGTATCCTCCCCCCTTCTTTCTTCTGGCAAAGATGCAACTAAATTTAAAGTCCCCCCATACATGCACACACAAGAACCAGAAAAGGATAGCTACTGCAACACCTTTAAAATAAATGAACACCCAACCCACCCACTACCAGCTACCTGCAGCTCCTTTTCTAAAGCTCTGAAGAAAAAAAAAAAAAACCTTATCTAATGTTGACCTTTCCTACAGCAGGTAAAGTCAACATTATCTTGACAAAATAGTACAAGCCTGGAATTTCAACAGCAACTCACCCTAATTCACTCAAATTGAACAACAGTATTGGTTTATCCATACTGAGACTCAGTAAGACATGGATGCCATTGCTCTCTTTGTTACTGCCTTATGTGACTTCAGGCAAATCTCTGCCTACCTGCGCCTTGGTTTTTCCATCTATTGTGCATTAACAGGTGCATCACAAACAGCTCCAGGGAGGTGATACTTCCCCTCTATGTGGTGAGGCCACAGCTGGAGTACTGCATCCAGTTTTGGGCGTTGCACTTCAAGAGGGATATGGATAACCTTGAGAGGATCCAGAGGAGGACCACTCGTATGCTCAGGGGCCTGCAGGTAAGGCCCTACAAGGAGAGATTAAGGGACCTGAATCTCTTCAGCCTCCACAAGAGAAGGCTAAGAGGTGATCTTGTGGCCATCTACAAATTCATCGGGGGGACAGCAAGGGATAGGAGACGCTCTGTTTACCAGGGCACCCCTTGGAGTAACTAGAAATAATGGCAACAAACTGATGGAGAGCAGATTTAGGTTGGACATCAGGAAGAACTTATTTACGGTAAGGGTTGCCAGAATCTGTAGTGGGCTTCCAAGGGAGGCGGTGCTCTCCCCTACCTTGGGGGTCTTTAAGAGGAGACTGGACAAGCACCTGGTTGGGGTCATCTGACCCCAGTGCTCTTTCTTACCTCGGGCAGGGGGTTGGACTCGATGATCTACTGAGGTCCCTTCTGACCCTAGTATCTATGAATCTATAAAAATGGAGATAATGATAATGACCTTGTTTATAAAGAGTGCTTTGAGGTACACTGATGAAGAGAGCTACATATATCATCATCACATAATCATTATTACCTATTACATATCCAGCATGACTCCTTCACTTGAATTAAAAATCTACGAGTATAAACTTGTGAGTCGAGAAACAAAACCGAATTCAAACATCTGCTAATCTCTATAGTTCAAACACCAGAGGAGGAATGGAATCAGTCATGTTGTACCTAACCTTAAAAAAACCCCAAACAAACCAAAAAACAGTGTACTCATGTTTTATGTACTATCCAATATGCACGTTATACTTAACAGCATAATACTATGCCAGTCCCATGTTTTACCTATTGCTTACATTAATCAATATGCAAATAACTGATGTTTGATATAAGTACATAAAATGCCTAAATGCATAATGCCTTTCAACCCCACTATCTACTTTGTAACCATTCTGTTTAAAGACATAATAACTGGTGCCAAAAATAGTGAAGAGAAAGTAACTGTCAAAGGCCTATTATTATGAGCCCTGAAACTGAAAGGAGCTATGTAATTTCAGGGTTGCTATTTGGATTAGCTCCCCTAATTCCTAAGGCTTCTAACAGCAGCTATGGAACTGTCTGGCACCTATGATTTTCAGGATTGCTAATTCCACAGAAGTGACAATTTTATGCACTTAATAAGCAATGCGTACCTTAAGTTCAAGCAAGGGCACATTTCAGGTAGCCATTGTCTTAGTTCTAAAACTACACACTTAAACAGAGCACACTCTATTGGGGTGACCATAAGAATTATGTAATGGTGAGTCTTTTCTATGGGCCCACGTAAGTTTGATGAAACAGTTATTAAGGAGCTAATAAATGCTGTATTAAAATAAAACATTAGAATTTCCACTAATGAAAAATGTTGCATTTCTAATCCATTAAGAACACTATGGAGTATAACAGAGCAGTGGATAAATAAAACTAATCTGAACTGTCAAAAGGTTTCCAAGCTCAGTCACAGAGACCATTAAGGAAACTAAGTATACATTATATAAAATACTGGATTAGGAAGTGACAGTGATGAAGTAGGAATATACAGCCAATTTTCAAAATGACTGTTTTCAAATTTTTCAAAAATTTCAGTATCAACTGAAAAATGCCCTAAAGATCTGTGTGGGAGCAATACTATTTAACACACACATTGATCTGGAAAAAGAGGTGTACAGGTAGGTTGCAAAACCTGTGAATAAAAGAAAACTATTCAGAAGAGTCTCCATGGTAGAGGGAACTGAGAAAAATTCCAGAGAGATTTGAAGTTACACAAACGGCAGCTCAAACGGAGATTAAATTGATGACTAATGCCAGGTAATAGACTATTGATATGTACTGTTTCTAAATAAATTGCAGCATAAAAACATGAAGAACATAATGAAAAGTTTGCTTGATGCACAATAGGTAAAAGGAAGAAACAAAATACCCACAAATTAAAAAACATCTGAATTATTATATCATTAAACAACAGTACATAGTTAGCTGAAACACTGCATTAAATTTTGATCTCAGGAAAAAAAAAAGGTTTCAGAGGAATGGATAAAAAAAAAAGAGATGACTGTGACGGCCAGAATTAAAGAAATTAATAAGCAAAAAATGTGCGCTTCTTGGAGGCATTTGGAATTTTTGTCCAATATAAAAGCTTGTAAGTTTGTAACCCACAAATGTAACTTGTAACAGTTCACGAACAAAGACAAAGCTATGACTAGCTGACTTAACGGTTTTTGCTCAGAGTTCAGCCTTGATAATAAAAACTGGATTCAACCTTGTGGCATACCCAGCACATTCCAGGAAAGCACGTCTCAAAAAAGCAGTCAGAGAGATCTAAAGGGGTTGGATTTAGGTGGAGTAAATGTTAATTTCAAACCTGAAGATGCTGCATTGCAATTTGCTTATTGGATAAACCCAAGTTTGGGTAGTAACGTTTTATGGTAATTTTTAACACCTTTTAATCCCATAGGGCAACAGCTATAGGGCAAGATTGTGAGTGGCTCTAAAGCCAACAGATTAGCATAAGACTAGGCACAAAAAGCACGTGCGTCAAGTAACCAGAAGGAAGGAGGGAACAGGAAGGAGAGAACAGGACAGCAATTACTTCCCAAGCGCAGACCCAGACTCCTGGTGTGAGTGAGGATCAGATGCTGATCAAGGGACCTTCCCCGGTAATCCCTCCAACTGCATCAATCGGGGATGCCTGACTTCGCTGGAATCACCTGGCGCGCACCTTGCATTGAGGAACTATTGATAAGTTGCCAACCCATGCCTGTCTATTTGTTGTTTTAAACAGCCCAGTGGCCGATACCCTCACAGTGCCCAGCTGGCCTGCGACAGATTAATTTATTTATCTGTTGTTATTGTTTACTGTTAGCTCTTTAATACTGCATTATCTGCTTATTGCATTTATCTGTTAACTGTTGGGTGTGTAAACTATAATAAATTTGCCATTGCTTCACTCCCAACTCTGCCTCCTCAATCCTGAACCAAACAGCCCAGTGGCTGATACAGTTGCAGCACCCAGTCAGCCTGCAACTCAATTAACACACTCACAGTGCCCAGCTGGCCTGTGACACATGACTCAAAACCTCCACACGGGAAAGACTAAACTGGACCAGTCCTATACTTTTCGGAGACAAGGTAAAGGCATAATAATGAATGCAACAGAGAAGATAAACTGGACAATCAAAGTTGTCCCTCCTCATAATACTTGATCACGTGTGACATCCAATTAAACTGAAAGTCACTATACTTTAAACAAATTACAAAATAATATTTTCTTTTAGTCTCAGCACATAATTAACATGTAAAACTCAATGGTGCAAAACACTAAGGACAAGACCATAGCAAAATTCCAGGAAAAAATATGCATGAGGTACAGATAAACATACATTTTAGCTCCTTAAAAAAGGAGGGGGAGCTGCTGTTCAAAACAGGTGTCAGTTGCTATGACCCAACTTAAGTCTGAAAGATCCTCTAGTGCTACAAGTTAGCTACATCACCTAATTTTGACTCTGAATAAAGGATTTAAGTTGGTTTGCCTTTACTACACTTTTATAGGCTACAGAGAGTCATACAGACATAACAGTTGCACTGAAACAGCTCGTGAAAAGTATCCTCTGTCTGTATCTGCAGCGAAAATATGCATAATTATACTAGAGAGGATACTAATCAGGAGGCAAATAGATCTTTAGGGCTGAGGATTTAAAAACCCTCACTTAATGATAATAGTTAGGAAGGAACCTATGGTCCTATATTCCAAAACTGCTGCTTTTTGCACCTTATTCTGAACCATGTAGTAAATATCCTCTGTCAAAGCAAGGATACAGCACTAGATGAACAAATCATTTGATCTGGCACAGGAATTCTTGCATTCCTATAATGGATTTATTTTAATCTCTGTGAGATTCAATCACTACTTATTTCAGGCCTCCGCTTAAATCTCCTTACTATCACTCCCCTTTGCATAAATGATTTTCACCATGGATTGATAAATGCATCAAAAATAATAAACAGATTTCATTTGTTTTAACAGAGACATTTACTGCAAAATGCAGCATAAAGCCTTCAATCTTTAAAAACGTAATTGACTCAGAAGATCAAGTACAATATTACAACTTGTTATTAAGATATTTATTCTGCATACAAATTTTAAGATGATTCTTTTAAACAAATACATATACCACATAAATACCACAGAAGAAGCCACACATGAACATTAAAGATTTTCTTCTAACAACACTAGGATAAAGGGGGAGAGGGGGAAAATGAATGACTTCTTAGAAAAAAAGAAATTAAATATTTTCAAACAGAGAAAGAAAGGCAATTTTCATAATTAGAAAAAAAATACTTAGTGTGCATCACAGTTCAGTTCCTCATTGCCAACATGGCATTTATATCCCAAATGAGATTCCGTAATTGATCCATAATTTGTTTCAGCTGCTGATTCTTCTGTTTCAGTTTCTGTGAAAAGAACAAGTTTATCAAGAGTTGTTTGTGATCAAAATGCAGATTATGCAGCTGGAATATCAATAAAAAAGTTAGACTATAGAGTGACAGACAAATCTATTAGGAATATAGGGAAGAGACTGGGCCACAAAGTCCAGTCACCTCTTTAAGGAAAGAACCATTATGCAATTCCTAAATTAAATTGAAATTCATTTTAAAAGCATTTAGGTGTGACTGGTTTTTACCCATTCTTGTGATAACACTGTCACAGAATCATACACTAATACAGCTGGAAGGGGGTCATCCAGTCCATTCCCCTTGCTTAAGGACAGAATCATCTCTGAAAGCCATCCCAGCTAAGCATTTATCTAACTGTTCTTGACAACTTCCAAGGATGGAGATTCCACAACCTCTCTGGATAGCTTGCTCTAATGTTTACCCACCCTTATAATGAGGAAGTTCTTCCTAATATCCAACCTAAATTTTTCTTGCTGAAATTTAAGACCATGAATCCATGTTCTGTTCCCAGTGGTTACAGAAAACAAACAAACAAACAAGGAGTCCAATCACCACTGTTTGCATAACCAACCATCAGGTATTTGGAGACTATTATCGGACTTCTCTTCCACAAACTAAGTAATGCCAGTTCATTTAGTCTGTCCTCATAGATCATATCTCCCAGGGCTCTGATCATTGCTGCTGCTCTCTGCTGGACTCTTTCCAGCCTGCCCATGAAGTGTGGGACCCAAACCTTGACACAGTACTCCAGGTGAGGCTTCAATGTATCAAACAGAGCAGAAGAATCACTTTCTATGATTTGCAAGTAACATTACTATTACTACAGCTCACCATGCTGTTTTTTTTGCAGAAAGAACATACTCATGGATCATATTCAGTTTAAAGTCCACTATAACCCCCAGGTGCTTTTCTGCAGTATTGCAGACTATCCAGGCATTCCCCAGTCTCTGTATGGACATGCACCTGATCTATCCCAAGTGCAGGACTTTGCATTTGTCCTTACTGAATTTCATTCAGATAAGTTTGAACCATGTCTCCAATTTACCAACAGTACCCTGAACCCTAATCCTAATCTTCAACCTAACTCCAACTCCACCCAGTTTGGCATCATCTGCAACTTCGCTAAGTATGCATTTAACCCATCTTCAAATAATTAGTAATGATACTAAATAGTTCTGAGAAGAGACCCCTGGGAAGTTCCACTCAATACCTCTTCCCAAGGAGACTTTGAGCCACTGATGGCAACTCTTTGGGCATGACCTAGTCGCTTTGCAGTATTTTGATCTAGACTATATTTCCTTAACTTACTAATGGGAATGCCTTCCATCTGAAATAGTTCACCCTTCCTATGATTTTCCATAGATCAGGTGGCAGCAAGCATGTACTAAGGGCAGACCACCCCTTGTAACTCAGCTGTCTCTACGGGTAGCCACCGTCCTCCAGCCACATGTGCTACATGTGGACAGCTGCTGTTGTGGCTTGGTCCTGTATCTTCTGCTCACTGTCACCACCCAGAAGCATAGTGAGGAAGGATTTGGAGAAGCTAATTCAGTGGCAATGGTGGTCGGAGGTTGCAGCTGCAAGGGCTGCAGTAGGGGGAGGGGAGGAGGAGAGAGAGCAGTACCCTCCACATGGCTGGCTGGAACAGCAATCAGATCAGCCAGCTGTTAGTAAAACATGGGCCACCTTAGCCACAAGCTGGGGATCAGTCAACTATTCCAAAAACACAGGCTGGATCAGACCTTCAGTTGCTGACCACTGCTCTAGATGTATTTATACACTGAAATCATATCCCTTCTCAGCCTTACTTTTGTTAGGCCTTGGCAAAACCAGCCAAATTCTTTTATTTTCCCCACATGATAGGTTTTCCAATCACTGACCATCCAAGTCACCCTGTTACAGCACCTGTTACAGTTCAAATTCATTTCTTTAAACATGGGCTAACAGAATTGTATACTATATTCTACATGAGGCCTCCCCAGGGCTTCATACAATAGTTCAGGCACACAATACCTGATTGTATCCAAACTATGAAAAATACAATTTCTTGATCTGCATTAGGAGAGGCATTTACCTTCTGTGTGGCCAAAACACAATGTGACTCGCTTATCCTGTGATCAGCTAGTGAACCCAGGTCTTTCTCCATTTATTCTCCTACTGGTACAAATACCACCAATGTTCTCAGCAATGTCAATAGATGTGCTCTAAAACATTTTTTCAAAACACTGGAAGGACTAAGAGTTAAAGAGGGCTGTAGGGATACTGTTTCTTTCTATAGCTATCATTTGTTCTGAACCCTTGCTTTTAGAACAGGACAGACAATAACACCTCCTTTAACAGAGTGCTTGTGACAAAAGAACAAGCTAGCAAAGCCTTTACAACAGCAACCTTCTGCAGGAAGAAGAAAATACATAATCTGAATCAATCCATGGATTCAGGAACAGGTAAATTTATGAGACCACACTTCGTAGGAACTTGGTGCTCAGAAAAATGATAGATTAATGGCAATAGTTTGAACCGGGTATAATGTGCAGGAGAGAGCCATTCAGGCTTTCGCTGTACCTCTGCCAGAGTATCTTAACCTTGATTCACAATTGAGATCCAGGCTTGCAGACAGATGCTCCTTATCATGCTAAGTTCTGTCAAACTGTGCATTTAGTTTGGTGAAGTACACAAATACTCTAGGGCTTAGGAAGAAACTAACAAGCTCATTTTCACTTGTGTTCACAACCAAGATTTAAAACTGGGTCTTGATAGATGAAAGGATAATGCCACCACTCTCACTGATAATACATGTACCCTGTCTAATTTACTCATTCTTCCTGCTCAAATTGAACAGAGCCATCAACAACTGTTTTGTGTATTATGAACAAAAAATATGCGCCATTCATTTCATTTGATGAAAAGCCTTTTACAGATGGAGATCCAGTTATTTTTTTTTTTTTAAATCAGGGAAGGCCAGAATTCTAAATGAGATCAAAGAAAAAGCCCAAAGGAAGATCTATGACAATAAAATGATGACAAACTCTTGAACTATTTCAGAGTTTTTGACTGAGGTTGTTACTTTGCATTGTATTAACTGCAGTATACCATAATTAAAAGGATAACTCAGATCACTTGTTTTTAATCAAATTGACAGGAAAAAACTGTTCAGATTAATTAGTAAACCTGTATATGCTTAAAGCTGTTTCCTAAATTTAGATGTAGATCCTATAATAATATTTTATTGGATTCTCTTTGGGATGGAAGCAGTTGTGGTTTATGGTGACTACAGATCTGTGCTCTATAAGGTGAGCCCTAAATACAGGATTTTTGTGGTGATGAGTTGAAATGTATGGGGGAGAAAACAGATTTGGCATATGCCTCCTAGCTTGACATAAGGCTTGTGACTGCTGGCCATTAAGGCTAAGCCTAACAATAAAACAATACAGTAACCAACACTGGGGTACCATTTTAGATACACCAGCCGGTCTACTGAAGAAAACCAGCTGGAGAAAAAGAAGGATGCACATTTTAGGCTTGTAACAGCAGTCTTTTTAAACAAAAAGAGTAAGAGGCTCAGGTTTATACAGGGAGAATGGTACTTGGAGAAAAGGGAGTTTTGCTGAAAGGGAAGACAGACTAGGGAACTGGAAACTGAAACCAGGCTGGGTCACAAGGGCTTTTGGCTTGCTAAAAGAACGTAAGTATGGTAGCTCTTCTGTAACTCAACAGGGAAATCCATCTAACTTCCCATCTGCAAAAGTGTCACATCAGTTTAACTGCAAAAGGTAGTTGCTTATTCTTATGTTTTTCTAAAGTTTGTTCTACATGCTAAACAAACTTACATTTGTTGCATGCATTTAGCTCATCACTGGATAGCACGGGTGATCAATTCCTCAAGGAGAGACAAAGACAAGCACATGCAAAAAGGTGTTCAACTGGAACCATCTGGCAGTAGATGGCTGCACAGATGACATGTACCCAGACATCTCCCTTCGAGTGGCAAAACTGCAAAGTTCCATTCATGAGAGGTAAGGACATGAAGCCTAACACCTGGGAGCATGCCCTTTGAAGACTCCAAAGGAGACAGAGGTACAAAAAGCTCCTTTATCGTGACATTCCTAAACAGCTTGCATTTGCCTATATCAAGACTGCATTCTGGAGAAAGCAAAAGTTAAAGAAATAGAACTTTGGATGAAAACCACTGAGTTTAGTCTATGCTTTGTCACCAACTCACTCTGTGACCTCTGACATGTCACTTATACCTCACAGCCCTCATTTGGAAAATTGGGATAATCACACTTCTTTATTTGCCAGGGGAGCTGTATGCTTCGCTGATGCTTGCATGATGCTTTGAAGATATAAACTGTTATCTTAATAAACTTGAACTTTAGATAAGCAGTTAACGGTGCTTATGTAAACTGTAAATAGAAAAGACGATTAAGCTATGCTACTCGAAATGGAAAAACACATTTTGATTGCATCTGTTCCTTGCATTTCCTTTCATTCCTAAATATACTGTAACAAACATCTATGTTGGTATAAGCACATGTACCTTAACTGGAATATTCCATATTGGAGGTACTTCAGGAGTGACTCACATTCTGTGAATCAATTCCTTTAACTGCAGATGCAAATGTTAAGTAGTTGTAAATGACGTAATCTTTGATATATCCTATGTAAGGCATCCTTCATAGCAGTTGCTTTTGTTTGCAGAGTGCTTATTGGCAAAGATGGGAAGCAAGCAATTTTAGTTAAATTCAATGGCACTTTAATTTCATATCTGAATGCCCCCTCTCCTCCACGTTTCATTAATTTGATTCATCTATTCTATTTTCTCAGAGACAGAAAAGAGATATTTAAAACAAAATACAATCTTAAGGATGTTATAATGACAAAAAAGGCATGGGAGGCAGTGGGCAAATTTTTCACTAGGTGGAACAAGGGGTCCTTTCACTATGTGAAATGCAAAATGATCTTTATCAGAGAATGGTCTACTCCATAAGCTACTACAT